GATGACACATGTGCCGTCGCCCCAGTTCAGCTCTGCTGTGCATGTTCGTACGCTTCCCGCTGGCCTGCTGGTCTTTGGGTCTCTGCCATGGGGAGCATGCGGGGGGAGCATGGATGCACAAGGGGTGGGGTGCATGGGGGGTGCCACATGTGCATGCACAGGTGGGCAGGCAGGTGGGCGACGTGCACATGCACGGGGGCAAGGCACATGAGTTGGGGCTCCACATGCATTGCACATTTGGGGGTTCAGGGATGTGCTTTGGGCTCTCGGTCTGGGAAAAGTTAGCCATCACTGATATAGGATCTCCTGTTCAACTTGGGGGGAGGGGGAGTGTAGAACACCTCCAAGGTCCATTCCAGCTCTATTATTCTCTATTCCAGTGTTTCTCAACCTTGGCAACTTGAAGATGTCTGGACTTCAACTCCCAGAATTCCCCAGCCAGCATTCGCTGGCTGGGGAATTCTAGGAGTTGAAGTCCAGACATCTTCAAGTTGCCAAGGTTGAGAAACACTGCTCTACGAATTACACAACAGTATTTAGCTGCGGTCAAGGAAACAAAATTAGATTAATCTTTTTTTAGATATTTTAAAGCAATTATATTTTTGTTCTTTTATCCTAATTGTGACTTTTAACTGCTGGTCTAAGACCAAATAGAGATTGATTAATTGATTGATTGATTGAATGGCAAATTGTTAATCAAAGTTTAATTTCCTCTTTCCTCAGGTCAAAGATTCATGACACCAAAGTATTAATAGAAGACACAGATGATGAAGCAAACACATGAACTGTCCCCAGGGTCAAGTTCCGCATCCCTCATGTTCTTTTGATTTATTACCTTCCCAACCGCAACAGCCACCCAGCCCATCCCTCTGGTATAGTTCCAGCTAAAAACAGGAGAAAAATCCGAACACATTTTCTGAGCTCTTCCGGACTGGTTCCTATGGACTCCAACAAGCTCACTGTGTTTTCCTTTCTTTTCTTCTGGTTTTAATTTGATTTCTTGTTTTAAAAAATATATAAAATCTAACTTCGTTTTGCCAATCAGAGGGACATTTAAGGAAGGAGCTGTCTTAAGGATTGTTTACAATCTCTTCAAGGACATACAATCTGGATGAAGGAAGCATCATTTTGGACTCCCTAACGGGGACTTTTAACTGAGAAATCATTCGGTCTCTGCTCAGTCCAGTTTTTACTGGTTGAAACTGGACCAGCGTTTTTAACTCTGGCTCTCGCTCTCTGGTTTTTTGGTGTTTTCTTTCATATCCAGCGCCAACGCACTAGCTGCACTTGCCGGGAAAGTGCACTTAGAGCAGTACCTTCATTCACGAAGCTACTTTTTAATTTGGTGTTTAACTTTCTTATTATTATTTTTTTGAAATATGATGTATTTGTTGCACATAGTTTTCATATTATTTATGATAGTTAACCTTATGAGAATGGTTTTCTGAGTCCTGTGCAATGAAGGTGGTAACTCTTTTAAAAAGAAAAAGAAAAAAAGGCAAGTGGTTGGGGAGAAGGGGATGTAGATCCTGGATCTCTCTCTCGCTGCAAGGTTAAGCCCTTTAAAATACCTCTTTGAGAGAACTTGCACCAGCTTAACCTGATTATTATTTTTTTATTTTTATTTTTTTCTTCTTCTTATTGATTGATTTTAAGCCAAAGTCGCTCTGTTGAGTTTTATTGCTGCTGCTGCTGCTGGTCCCGTAGAAATCTTGTCACCTTCCTTAGCTGGATCTTCTTTGTACGTGTGCCTGCACAGAAATAATAACCACAATCTCCAGATTTCTGTTGGAAAAAAAGAATCTAGAGATAATCCGATGTAGTCCGTCAGATATCCATGCAAGAAAAGCCTTAGTTTGTACATTTAAGAATGGTTTTCATTTTAGTGAGCTGAGTCTCCAGGACATCATCCCATTTTTAAATAGGGAGTTCCTGTTATGTATGGATCATTCACTTCAGCTAAAAAATAGAGAAAAATAAAACTGATTGAGACAGAGGTCTGTCTTGTAGTGGATGTAGGATTACTTATTCAGCAGTATATATACTGGGTTCAGGCAGACACTCAACAGCTTGTCATTTCTGTCATCCAGAGACTCTGTAGTCTCTGAATATTGAGAAAGTTGGTATTGCTATAGAAAGGGCTCTTTAATTTTTTCAATAAATAAAATATTTTGCCGTACTTTGGCAAAAACTTGACTGACAATCACTGTCCAAGAACATCCTCAGGTTAACTTTTGTTTCATTTTTTAAACCTACCTGCCCCAAGTCCTAGATTTCCAGTGTGGTGCTAGGCCCGACTTCTACAAGCATTATGAGTGGCACTGCTAATTGGACTTACGGTAGATGATCATACACTTTAGTAAACCCTTTTAAAAAAATGTTTATCAGTTGATTATTATTATTTTTTAATTCCATATTGGCCTCCAGCATCCATAGGATAGAGCAGCATGAATGCTTAAGATGACCACTCCCTCTCCTTGTAGTAGAAAGCCTGTGTTGTGTATGCCAAGCATTTGTACTTCATATTAGCAAATGAAAGCTTATCGTACTCTGTTACACAATGTGTGCATCTGTGAGATCACCACCCTATGATGGGAGAAGCTATTTCAGATTTTCTTAAGTCTGATACTGATATAGGATTTCACAGCAAGGACTGTGTTGTTCTTGTTTAGGTTTTTAGATGGTGTTAGTTCCTTTCTCCTGTACAATCTCCTTTGGTTTGCAAGCATTTTAAGCAAAGAGGATTCCTCTTTTATCTTTCCCCCCCCTTTCGTTTCCAAGTTAATAATCTTGTCTATAATAATTTATTTCGTTATTTTTATCTTTCAAGCCATTCACAAGACTTACTTTGTAAAGCAACTGTGACTTAAAAATAGTATGCATAACGTGCCTGTAGCCATAAGGACCTAGACAACAAATTCCTGGCAAGACAAATTAACTACAAATCAGGACTCCTTGACAGGCAAGAGAGCTGTAGAATGAAACTTTAAATCACAGTTATTTTTTATTGTGCTTTAACTTGGTAGAAGATTTAGGACATTGTGGTCGTAATGCAAGTAGATCTTGGAGTTGTACATTATTTGTGCTTCTGCAGTGTAGCAGTTATTACTTGGTATTCTAGTACCAGGCTGTTCTAGTAGAAAAGTTGGATTTTGGAGTCCCACTAAGCTGTTTTGTAACAAAATGAGTCTGAAATTCAATGAGAGGTGGGGTTTTTTTTTTACATATTATAATAAGACTACTACTGAACTTTATGTGAATAATGGCAACTACTTACACATTCAGTTAAACAAATATGAGAGGTCATTCTACCTAAGGAATGTTAATCTGAATAAATCATGCGTCCTCTAAATTCTTCCAGCCAAAGACATATAACAGGGAAAGATTTATTCAGGATATACTGAAGAATTCTGACGTTTGAGGTTTAAGCAGAAGGAATAACCTGATGGTGGAAATTTAGAAGTACCAGCAATCTGAAATAATTTGCCTATCAGATTAGGAAGATTATATATGACACAATCAATATTTTTTTTCACACCACCATCATCTGACTGAAAAAGATCGCTGCCTTGTGCAGAACACAACATTTTACACGGAGGTATTAAGTGAAGTTCCAGATTTAAATTTATATTTAGGGAACTTGACTAACTTTCATAAATTGTATGTTGAGGTTTGTTGTTTTTTTTTTTAATCTATGTAATGATTAGCCAAGTTCATTAACTAAGCTTCCCCTCCCCTCCAGGGTGCTGTCATCAAAAAGCCCTAGATTGAATTGAATTACATATATGGGGAAAAATGTGTGTCCTAAAGAATTTGTGCTTGGTAGCCCGATTTCAGAAATTGAGACCTTTTAATGTAAAGTTTCATCTCCAGAGTTCACTTTATTTTCCTGTTGGTGGTTAGTGCAGAATTGTTCGTTAAAACCAGTCTACCTGAATTTCTTGTGTAGAAAGCTTTTAGAATCACTAAAATGGAATATTGAAACAGCTAGGATACTGCTTCCATTTTCCTGGAGTATAGAGAAATGCCATGTAATTAGCAAAAAAATATTTAGAAGATTTTTTTTTTCCTCACAGAGTTTAAGACCTGATAGAAGAGTTGATGCTTTTGGCCTTTTCCATGTCTGGCAAATGGATTTAATGTAGCGTTACATAATGGTTAGATTTTTCTTTGCCCTAAATAACGGGGCGGGGATAAAAGAAAGCTATACGAACCTCTTGGAAATTAATGACTTTCTTAAGCGGTTAACTATTTTAGAAATGGAATGGAATTGACGCTCTGCCAAGAAGACTGTAGAAGAAGCATCTTTGTGAGGTTATGCAGAAGTACTTTGCTGCTTTTTGGTCTCCTCTTCCAAAGTAGTTTTTCTTTGTTTTGTCAGAGAAGATGAATTTGTTAGATTTGAATTAAAGCATCTCCCTTGCTCTTTGTCCATTCTCTATAAAGGTTACAGAGTTGTGGAGGGTAGGAATCTTGCAATGAGTTTAGGCTTTATTCTGAGCAGTAAAAAAAAAAAACCTCCTTTATTTTCATTCTTTGCTTTTTATTACCTGATTTCTTTATTTTTTTGATTGACAGAAGCAAGTGTGCTTTGTAGGAAACTGAAAAGCTCGCATATTGGAAGTTAAAAGCATGTGTTCAGGAAAAAGTATATAATTCTGGTATCTTATGAAGGAAATTCCATTGTGTTTTTCTGGACTTTGGCTTGAAATTGATCACAAGCCTACAGGGAAGTAATAGTAGTAGAAGAAGCTTTGTATAGATCATTTTCTTTTAAAATATTTTAAAAACAATTTCATTAAGGAAGACCGTATTTCCCCCTCCCCACAGAAAAAACCCCTTCATTGGACAAAAATGTGTCCAGTGTATTTATTTTCTGTGGAGAAGCGGTGTGCCTAAATTAAGCAATGTATTCAGCATCTAGATCAGTGTTTCTCAACCTTAGCAACTTGAAGATGTCTGGGAGTTGAAGTCCGGACATCTTCAAGTTGCCAAGGTTGAGAAACACTGATCTAGATATTTCTAAGCTTCTTCAAGAGATGCACATCAACATTTTTAATCCATGATTGTGTTCTCATATTTTCGTTTTCAAGGAAGCCTTATTGATAAGGCCTCTAATCTTATAGTATCACAAATTTGCAAAGAGCAGGGAAGAAAAATGTAATTTAGCTAGGAAGATTTCCTGTTGATATATATATAACAAATTTGATCTCTTGACTAATACCACTTTCCTCTAAGGGTCATAAAAAAGCCAGAAGGCATAAATTGAAATTCTAGATTTTAGAACCTACTACTATAGTTAGATCCAGAATCATGCAATTGGTAAAACAATGTTTTCCTTTTCTAACCACCAATCCAGAGTTGGGCAACTACATTAGTCCCCTATATCATTTTTGTTAAATCTTTCTGTAAACCAGTTGTGTTAGAAGAAATTGTCCTGACTTACTAAGATTTGTTTTTTTTTTTAACACTGGTTATTAAAAAGGAAGAAAGATTTATTTTTTGAGGGGGAGCCGTTTTTATGCTTTTAATATCTTCTATATTTTTTCTGCTACTTATATGAATAAGAGTAACTTAACACAAGACCCTAACAATGTTGCCAAAATATTTATGTTAGTTCTGATTGGAAGGTGTGCATTTGGATATATCCTTCTTCCAAATCTTTATTAACTCAATGTCGGAACTCAATGTGGGAAAATCACATTTTTCCTTTCTTTACACTGCTGTAATAGGTAGAGTAAAGGAGCTATAGGTTTATAACTGGGCTATGAACTGCAGTCTTCATATCTGAATATGCCAATAGGTTAGTCCATTTACCATGCTAAACTCTAAATTATCTCCACCATGTTTAAGCCTTCGGCCTTACACTGTTAAGAATTCTTCAAAAAGTGATTGGAGATGGCAATGAGCTTGCCTTTTTGAGATCCAACTTTGCCCTGCTGCTATATTGAGATATATCTCATTCTCGTTTTTCACCTTATTGGTGTGTTGCTCTAAATAATGATTATATATTACAAAACCCCAAGCTGTAGGTGTCAAAAGTAACTATGGAATGTGATATAGTCCTCTTGTGGGTGCTTTTCTCTTTTACTTTATTCCTTTTCTCTATCCCCTTTTCCACTCCTCTCTTGGATCAGTGGAAAATGTGGAGAAAAAAAAAAAGACTTGCCGCTTGCTTGGACTCATAATGATGTTTTCTGTGATTGCGCTTTTAGCTGTCTCCTCCCCCCTCCCCTACTCTCCCCCCCCCCCAATGGATATAAGACTTTTTCTGAAGTGTGGAATTAACTTTCTTGATAAGTAGGTTTAAAAAATGCACAATGTGGTACTGTTTCATAGTTCTTAGATGGTTGTATAAAAAGAGTTAATGTGGTTTGTGCTTTAAAAGGAATAAGTGATTGATTTATTAATCTGTCTTTTTCATTATTACAAGCTTTGTTTTCCAATGACCACTTGCCTTGTTTGGTTTTTGTACAATATATGTGTCTTTAATGGTTGGTTTTATTCTTACACATTGATGTTGATCACACCAGGCCCACAGATCACACCTGTGCAAGCCTTACGTAACTGACTAGTGCATCCACAAGACTATTTTTACACGTGTATTACTTACAGATTAGGTTTCTATTCTGCCTTTAGGACAGAATTGTAAATAATTGTGATTACATTTATTGACTATGTTTGTTTCCTTTTAAACCCCCCCCCCAAAAAAAAAAGCTGGTGAGGTCAAACTTTAGACAGTGAATATTGTTTTTTCACTACCCGAGCAACATAATTGATGCTCCCCAGTAGGTAACCTGTGTAATTTTCATATCATTTGAACCTGAGCTATTGCAGAAAAGAATCCCATGTTCGTGTTGTCTAAGTATAAATTCCGTGACCCGTCAAAACCGCGGAGGACAAAATCGCGCTCGACGAAAGCGCACATTTGACATCATCACAGCGCGATGAAAAAAATTAAACATTTAAATAAAAATAAAATTAAAGCAAACCGATTCACATAAAGGTAAGGGTTAGGGTTAGGTTAAGGGTTAGGGTTAGAGCGTTAGGGTTACGTTTAGCGTTAGGTTAAGGGTTAGCGTTAGGTTTAGTGTTAGGTTAAGGGTTACGTTTAGGGTTAGGTTTAGGGTTAGGTTTGGGGGGGTTAGGGTAAGGTTTTTGCTTTATTTTTACATTTTTCGATCACAGCGCGATGTTTTCGTCGCGCTGTGATGACGTCAAATGCGCGCTTTCGTCGAGCGCGATTTTGTCCTCCGCGATTTTGTGGTGGAACCATAAATTCAACTTTCCCAAGGGATAGCAGCCTTCTTATTGTTTTGCAACAAAAACAAGAAGAAAAAATCCTGAGTTACCTTAAAGGTACATGTGTCAGGGTTCCAAATAGCATCCTCTATGAAATAATAGCTTGAGGCAAGAAGTTCCTCAAAACACCAATTTATCAGAAGAGCCATGTTTGCACATCTGGGAAAAGCCAAATCTGAAAACTTCCAGGTTTTCCTCACCCAGTTGAAAGTCCAAGACCCTGCCCCAACACCCACAAATCCATCAAATGGTCCAATCACTTATTGCCGTAGATGAAGATTCCTCCCACATCCACATCTGTCCAGGTGCAGGGATGAGGTGACCTTGACTTTCTGATAAAGAATGTTATTTTGGCTACACATCTCCCAAGCTCCATACCATCTCCCCTCCCAGTTTCCCATAGTAACTATGTTTGAATACGTGGCAGGCTTGAGGCCCTATCCCCAGATGTTTCCAAGCCTGACAACATGGTGTTTGTATTCTCACACACTCCAAAGTACCTTTTTTGAACCAATTCCAAAGTGCTTTACAAACCTAATGTGTAACGTGGTGTTAAAACAGCCCTTCCAAAAGCTAGGGAATAAATGTGGTTTTCATATACGACAGCTTTTATTTGTGAAAAACATTTAGCCCTGTTTGGACAATGAAAGCAAATCAGGAAGTAGGAGGTTAAATCCAATGGTCTCCTATGCTAGGATATAATGCTTGTTTTCCAAATTAAGGGAATTAGGCTTCCTCACTTTTTAATTGTTTTAATTGTTAATTGCTAATGTACGGGCGCATAGACCAAGAGTAAATAGTATCAACATTAAGAACAAAACACATGCATCTGTACAATGTTAAATGTGTAAAATGTTATGATTAACATAAAGGGACAGATCAGCAACATATTCCCACTAGAGAGTACGTATGCCATATCTAATTCAAAAAGGCTTAACTTCTAGATCTATGATGGTGAACCTAGGCATACATCCAGAGGTGGCACGCACGGCGTCTCCAGCTGCTCTTCTGGGTTTTCTCACGCGCATGTGCACCAAACCAACTGACCACTGTGCACGGCGCCCAATAGAACACCCAATAGCAGCTGGCCAGCTCTCTTCCGGGTTCTGGTGCTCTGGCACGCACATACACGCATACACATGCAGTTTCTTATGCTGTGATCTACATGGATGGTCCTGATTCTTTATGCTGATAAATCCCTTCCGATAATTTCCTAGAACTTGGTTAATTTTTTTTTTGGTTCCTTCTCACAAAATTCTTCAAAATTTTAATAAGTTTTTTTAAACAAATCTTGTAAATCCAAGTTATTTAGTGTCTGGCTTTTGTTGCCATGTATTTTAAAAGCAAGGGAAAGTCTATAGAGTAATCTGGCTGCCAGCAGTTGTGAGTTTGTTCAGTTCCGCCTGTCGCACGATGAGCAGGCGAACTAGCTTCACACCTCTGTAAATCCAGTATGGAAAAGTTTTTCAGGTCACTCTTTTAGTTTGTTATTTGTACATCCCTTATTATGAAAACAACAGCCGGTTTCATTTGCATATCCTGTGTAGCATTTTTTCCTTATCATTCTTGTAGGCTATTATTTTTAAATCCACATTTAAATCAGTCTGAGTCTTGACTGATAAAACTTGCTTTTCTTCCATATCATTTTTAAAACTCAGTCTACCTACAATGGCAGAGATTCTTAAAACTTAACAGGTAAAAAGTCCATTGTTTACAAATATCCTCCAATA